CAAACCAACCATTTGAAAAAGCCTAATCTTAATCCTAATCATACTGTTCCAAAAATAAGAAATGCCTACCTCAAGCACAAGGAGTGGCGGCCGTCTTTTCGACCATCCCTACCTTTCTACCTTTTTTTTTTTTCTTTTTGTGCCCGTTTTGAGTGGAAAAAGATTCTTTTAATAGGAATATAAAATAAATTTATAAGTTGTTTATTACCTTTTAACTTTTAGTTATTTATGCAAGTTTTTTTTAATAGTAAAAAGTAATATTTATCGAAAAATAGAGTATAAAAGGTATCCTAAATTAATAAATATTTTAATTTCAAAAGTATAAATATACAAAAATTAAACAGTTTTTTTTGATATATTAATACAAGAGCATTTTTAAGTTGTTAAAAAATTCAATCTGCACTTTGTTGGAAACATAAACTTTGATTCTGGATGCTTACCGTATGGTGTCAACACCAAAATTATGTGTCGACCCCACACCCGTGTCGGGTTTTTGTCCTCTTTTGCAATTTCTTTAATGGTAAAATTGCACATATGATCCTCCAGATTTTTTATAACGAGCATTTAGATCTCAAAACTAAAGATTCATTGATTTAAGTCCATAAGATAACACCATTCTACTTGCAATTTAGTCCCTAAACTTTCAAAATATGTTCATTTGAACCCAAAAACTCTTATTCTTATACATTCACGTCCTTTTCTTTTCTACCACCCTGGATAGACTTCACACACACCACCGAGTTTTGCATCCAATCCAAGCTGGAGAACATAAATCCAGCCGCCCTTCCTCTGATCCAGAAGAATGTCCTAAGCTGTATAAGGTCGAACAGCCTCTCCTCATCTATTTCCTATTGCCTGAAAATTTGTTCATTTCTTGCTAACCATATGGTCCATGTGAGGTCAAACCAAATTGTTTCCCATCCCTGCCTAACCCATTTGTTTTTTGAAAAGAAAGCATGTTGTGCAAAAGCCTCCCTACACTCATTATGACGGACACTGCTCAATCCCCACCATTTTTGGCATTTCCACCACAATTTTGATGCAAGGGAGCACTCCAAGAACAGGTGGTTGGCATTTTCAAGTGCTGCCCCGCAGAAACCACACAAGGCTACTGCATCCTCCTTTAGAATGCCCCTTCTTCGCAAGTTTGTTTTAGTTGGTATCCTGTTCAGTAGTATCCTCCAGTTAAAGGCACATATCTTATTTGGGATGCCTTTGTTCCAAACTTTTCTGAATAATTTTGCCTTATCCCCTCCTTGTTGGTCTCTTAGCAAAATGTATCCCGACTTTGCTATGTATATTCCATTGTTGGTATAACTCCAAAGCCAAGCATCCTGTTGTCCTCTATCTAAAGCAACATTGAGCGTCAAGTTAGTTAGCAAGCTCCTGTAGCTTATCTTCTCCCCACCCGCGCATACTTCGCCTCCACCTCAAGTTCCACTGCCATATGTTGTTATGCCATTCCCCCATATGTTAGTTATCTATGCCAGTAACAAACCCAACTTTTGGGGGAAGGGGAAACTGACCATCTATGATCAATGAAAATCCCATCTGTTGATGTTCAAATTGTCACTGACTCCTAAGAATTTGATTACACATCATCGTTGCATGCAACGGATATAAGTCATTTTCGTGTAACACCATTCTTAACCACTTCAAAGAGGAGAAATTCTTTCATGCAATGGTATGGTATATTACACTAGTAGTATTTTTATTTAATAATGTTGTAATAAATCAGTAAATGTGACTTTACTTGTAATGAAAAAAATTTAATTATTATCATTGTCATTTCTTAATTAATTTATTTTAAGGGGAAGTTATCACACTTATTGATTTATCGCAACATTAATAAATGATGATACTATTGATGTAATATTTTTATTGTATGAAAAAATTTCTCCAACATGAGAGAATTAACCATTCAAAAAGTCTAACATAATCATATTTTTTCAAAAATAAGAGATTTATAGAACGAAGAAAAACTATTCCATATTTTATATGCAGGAATTATTAACAGTATTATATGAGTGAGGAAGCAATTACAGAAATGTAGAAGTTATTTTATATAATATAGCGAATATTAATATTTTTTTAGCACATTAAAAGTTAATTGTTGTAGTTTATTGTGTTTAGAATGCGAAGAATAGCAGTGTCGGATCAAATAAATAGTGATTTGAGAACAAATTAATTAATTAATTATTATTGATTATGTACACGTGGGGATGGCAGGGTTAAGATGTACTGGATTGGTTTTTGATGTTAATGGAAATGCTTGTTATTTTTCTAAAGAAGGAAAATGGTTGCATACCATGGTGGCCTTCTTTTGACTTT